TTAAGTATTACTACTTTTCATATAAAGAGAAATAAGCAAATAATTTAAATTACAATAATAATAATCTGTAAGAAGCTGAATATTTTGGATAAGACCAAGTATTCCTCCAGCCTAAGTACAAAGCAGAACTTAGTTAAAACATAAAGAGTTTTAATACAGTATTGAAAATGTTAAAGGCAACATACTAAGCTAAGAAGTGCTATAGTTATAACACCCGGTCTCATAGGAATGCAACCGCAACATCGATCCATTCGAGTCATCTTTGATTATTAGATTAAATAAATTTGCGCTGAACTAACATATTTTATAGTTTTCACGTACAACTATCTAAACTTGATAAATAAAAGGCATTTTAAAATTATTCTAATGACTATTAAAATTAGAATTATTAATATTTGTTAAGCAAATTGCGTTTTGTAAATAATTTGGCAGCTGCGTTACACATAATGACGCCCATAAATGACATAGATAAATTTATAAATTTATAAATTACTATAGTGCAATGGCTCATTTTAATAAATGATATACTATTACATAATATTTTTTTACAAATTGTATAAAACTTTTCCTTGCAAAATAAAAATATTTTTCATAATGCTGTAATGACATCGACAAAATTAATTTTGTTATTCGTCTTTGGAGTTAGGGCGCGTGCGCTCATTTGTACGTTGAATGACACAAAAAATAAAAACGACCGACCCAAAAGTATAGAAAAGTTTAAAAAAGCAAAAATACAACAATACAAGTAAATGAATGCTTAAGTATGCAAGAATCTTATAATCTCAATTTATGACTGATTCCAGCATCCTAACACAAAACCTATGATTGGCGTTTTCTTTTTGGTTTGTATAATGTCAGTGTCACTTGTAGAAATAAGTATTTTGGCGAGACATTATATAATAAAATGTCAAAAGAAAAAAAGTAAATGACGCACTTTATAATCTAGTTAATATTCAATTTACACAAATGCTTTGTAATGATTTCATGAGATTTTATTCACAAGGATATGCCCTGATGAATGAAAACGCTAAAAATATATTTTAATCAAAGAGTCTTGAATGGTACAGGCTAATAAGTACGTATATTTTTGTAAACAAAATAGTTTCCAAAGATGTGCATTGATGAATAAAAATATATGAAACGGATATCAAGCCCTTATTGTAATCAAGGAGCCTCAAATGGTACAGCCAAATAAACACATATAGTTTTGTAAATAAGATACTTTCGATATATTGATTGAAATGGAAGAGCAATATTTTCATATTTATGATTATAAAAGCTAATGTTATTTTCAATTCCAGAACGGCAACTATATTTGTCTAATCCAAACCTCTCAAATTAATGTTAAATCTAATTGTAATTCATTAATTGAAATATGGTTTTAGAAGTTCCTTTTTCAGAAAATAACCTTCATCGTCACAATATGCAGATATGTTTATAGCTTATTTCTTAAAATAGCAAATTCATTTTTGGTACAAGATTATCCCAAACACAATAAATGAATAGACCACAACAAGCAATAAAATATGGCGCATGTTTTTTAGTAATTATTTTGTCCCTCATCGAGGAGATGTTGAAATACAATAATTACAATAAAGTACAGTTTCGGGTTATCTGTCCCTTCCGCCTTCGTGCTATTGTGCCCATATTACAAATACAGAGTTCGAGAGTATCGCATGAACAACTAATGCTACTGTTTACTACATGTGCGACTGTGCTACTATACTAACTATGCTGCTAACTTGACGGGCAGGGCAAAAAAAA